AAAAAATCTGAAAAATTCAAGAGTTGATAAATAGAAACTTTGAAAAACTTAAAACAAATTCGAGAAATGGCAAAATCGGAAAACTAATGAATTTTTAAAAACTCAATAATGTGTGTTGTTAAAAAAATGTTCAGTCAACACAATATAAGTAAGCGCGGTGTAAGTGATTAAAATTTGATTAGTTACAAAAATAAAATTACAAAATCAAAAAATAAAAAGTTCCAAAAATTCTAAAATTGAAAAATTAAAAATTGAAAACTGGAAAGCCTAAAATCGGAAAACTGTAAAGTCCAAAAATTGAAGAAACAAAACTTCATAAGTGGAAAATATGAAAATCGGAATATTAAAAATCGAGAAACTGGATCATCCAAAAACTGAAAAAACGATCTAGAAATTGACAAATCGAGGTAACTGTAAAATCGAAAAATTGTAAATTAAAAAATTGAAACAACCAAATCTTGATAAATCAAAATGTTGAAAAACTTTAATTTAAAACTCTAAAAACTTGCAAAACGAAATACTGTACAATTAAAAAATTGCAAAATAAAAATCGAAAAAATGAAAAATCATATTAACAAAAAACGGTAATTTTTAAAAATTCGAAAATAGGTTCTATTAAAAAATCTTCAATTAACACGATGTAAATAAACGTGGTGAAAGCAATAACATTCGAATAACACCGATGTGCTTTGTTGTTATTGTCGAAATTAATACATACCCTCATTAAAAATCATAGTGTTACAAAAATTTATATAAAAATTGAAAAAGTAAAAACGACAAAATCGTAAAACTGAAAAATTCAAAAGTTCAGAAATCAAAAATTGAAAAAGCCTAAAGTTGAAAATACGAAAAACTGCAAATCGAAGAATTGAAAATCACGTTTTTTGGCTTGCTTAATGATTCTAGCAGTTAAAAATATCTGACGTATCAAAAATTGCCAACGTTTTTAAAACCCTACGTTTAAAATGTTCGCAGTTAATTTAATAAAGGAATCTGTTGTTTTGTTGCTGGATAAAATGGAAAATATATTTTGAACTTTGTTTTATTTTTTACGAATTTGAAAAAGTCGTGAGTGCCGCAGTGTTTTTTTACGTATTGCGGGAGACTCTTAGGTACCCATGGTGTATTATTTTGGGAGTCCATGGGGTTTTTTTTGTAAATTATTTAAAACAATTTTGGAGGACTTTGGTGTTTTATTTTTGGAATTTGTGACCCTACCTTTTTTTTGAAAAATTTGAAATAATTTTGAGCTTCTAGGTATTCCTGTTTGGAAAAAATTTGAAAGTGTTTTGGAGCCTCTAGTGTCTTTTCTTATAATAATTCTTTTCATAACAGGTACTAGCCCCGTCCACCCACCCACCCTTGGTCATTTGCCAAAATCGGTCTTATTTTAGCAGTTACTAGCCCCGCCCCACTGTTAGCACTCGAACTGATAAGTGATAACATCTGCAAACCGGTCTAGGACAATTCGGCGCGGCCGACTTGGCGCGGCCGACTTGGCGCGAGACATTTTGGCGCAAAGCCAACTTGGCGCAGGGACACTTTGGCGCAAGCCATCTTGGCGCGGGCCATTTTGGCGTGGATGAACTCGTACCAAGAAAAATAGATATAAATATACAAAAATTGCAGCCGTTGTTAGCATAACCTAATTTTTATAGTCAGCAACGCGTGGAGGGGTAATGTCGACTTTTTAATGGACACACGGGCGCTTCGCGCCCTGCACCCCATTATAAACATACTCCTAAATGTGGAACTTCTTGCTCCGTGGATCATTTAGTTATTGGAATTTGTGCGAATGAAACTTTGTATTTGGTTGCCTACATTTGGCATAAATAACAAGGTGCTAACCACAGTACGAACAAGAAGTATTTTTTATATTATATACCGACGTACTCGCGCCAAGATGGCTTGCGCCAAAATGTCCCTGCGCCAAGTTGGCTTTGCGCCAAAATGGCTCGCGCCAAGTCGGCCGCGCCAAGTTGGCCGCGCCAAGTCGGCCGCGCCAAATAGTCCCATTCCGTCTGCAAACATAGTGTGACTTTCCTGTTGTTATACAAATTATATATATTTATTGTTCCGGCAATTAATGTGGTTACTCTTTCATTAGTGGCAGAAAGTACCGAAAAAACATTCACATAATTGTTGTTTATTGTATTTTATAGCATGGTTGTATTTTGGCACGCAATAATCAAATGCTATGTTAAATATCAGTCGACAAACAATGTTTTATTATTGGTTTATTGATTAATTCTGTAAACAAAGAAACTGGTTACAAAATTTTAAATTAGCTATTCTGTTGGTGTAAACCGCGAATAATTAATTAAATTTTTAACAAGTGAAAAACAGGAAAGGAAAATTTGTCCAAATTGCTTTCCTTTCTTGGAAAATCATCTCAAAAGATTCGAATTATTTGCCAAAGTTTACATTAAAAACACCAACTGACAACCTGACCATGTCAATCAGGGCACAGACTAGATCAAAGTATGTAATAATGTTCTGATAAGTGACACATACACATTTACAAAAGGGTAAAAACGTAGCGCATAAAATTAATGAAAGCTTTATGTCTAAATGTGTCAACAAAAGCTGATAATTGCTTTGAACATTGCAAGCTTTGTATTACATTATTACAAAATAAACGCAAAGGAATTGAAATGTCAGAGGTTGCAGCATCCCTCTCTGAACAAAAACAAAACAGCGCAAAAAAGCACTATTTATGTGTAATTAAAGATTTTAACACATTTCACGTATGGAGCTTAACACAACATCGCTGCAATATGTTTGGTTAAAGCTAATAACTGTTTGTTAAATAAACAAGCTAATATTTTGTTGATTTGTGCCCGTTACGGAAAAGTTAAATTTAACTTAAGCCGTAATTTACAGCTACACACAACAGACAAAATTACATTTCGCTAGTTAAATCCGTTTTGTTGTACAAAGCTTTCCGAATGAGACCATAAATTCGTGCCACATATTATTTGACACCGCGAAGTGAGCTTAGGAAGTGAACCGCAGCGGCGGTCATTGTGCTTATTCGACTAAATACAACTTTCCATGTCCGAAGGAGCGATGTCACAAGGTCACCCCGAAATATCCACGCAGGATTTATAATTGCGGAATATCGTTAGCGTTATCTGAAATGCAAATCTTTAAAGCAAACATTTAAAAGACCATTTCTCTTTCTTAAAAAAGGCACCCGTGTGTTTTTTAACAATTAGTAGATCGATAACGGCTTATTTTTAGAAGAAAATGACTTTAATAGCTGTGGTTGATATGAATCAGTTTCGAAGGTTGTTATATAGTAAATTCCTATGAAAGCAGTAAATCTTTTGTGTTGTTCTGGGGAAGGTAACTTCGGTATTGAACGTCTATCGTGCGACTTGGGCGAAGCGCGCTGCTTTCGAAATTCGGGACTCGACGTTATCATGACTACCATTAGCGACAGGACGGAGATCACTAAAGGGCGAATTTTAGGCTAAAATGTTGGTATTTTGCATAATAAGCGATTATTCGTTGAAATTTGGATACTAATAATATAGTTATATTTGTTTTTAATATAATAAATGGGTTCAAATTCTACAATAAGCTAAAATGTTTCATTTAATTTAGAATTACACAACAATGAGGGAGCTGGCGCCCGAGCACCACCGCTCCCGACCAAAGGCGCCATTCTCAGTAACGTATAAGCGTAGGTCGGCCAGACGTGTTTCTTGTCAGCGGCACTAGTGCACTGTTGGTGTATTTAATTGGCCTGAAACCTCGACATCACGTCCAGGAAAGAACATTAAAAACGCCGAACTGCGTCCAACGATTTTCTTGCAAAAATGTAAAATTATAAATAACATTTCCCTTTTGGTATGCTCAAAATTATCCTCGCTACTTCATAAACTTATACCGGTTATGCGTATGTATAAACCTGTCAGCCGCATTTGTTTAGATTTATTTGTTTTTCATTTCTTTCTGCGCTCAGTTAAATCTAAATAATTTTTTCGCGTATTCATTGTTTCCGTTTTACCTTAAAGTTGGCTCGATCATTGAAAGAGATATACTCGAATAAAATTGGAATTTCAGCCGCACTCAAACAAGATTGTACATTTCCGAAACACGCTGCTATGCATACACAAATACCCACTTTGTTAAGCGAAAGTTTAAAATCTCGATTTTATTTATCGAAATCGTAGAGGTACACTTTGCATAGTGCATCGGAGACGTGCTCCAGGTCACATGCATTTTTTCGTGGGCGGTGTTTTCCATCCCGAGAACGTGATCTAGACAGTACGTGATGGATATCGAGATTATTTCGTTTCTTTTCACGCAACGACTGCGCTCTTATTTTAGAAAATTTAATTTCGTCGTTGCAAAGAAAATCAGCAGTTTATTAAATGTGGGTGAACTTTTTTACATGTGACAATAGTTCTCCAGATTTTTCGTTGTTTTTCTCACTCTGATTATGAGACAGACAGCTTGCGTTAATATTGTAGTGGAGCTACAAAACAAAGTAATAATCTTAGCAATTTGGTATGCAGGAATAATTCACATCCACATCAAAAGATTCCTTTGATCAGACCACAAGCACCACTGGACCTCGTCCAAATACTCCAACAATGGAATCATTATGGGGAAAATTTTTATAATCCACCATATGTGTTAGCGGTGTAAATAAAATAGAAGCCGTTTACTAATTTACGCCCTATTAAAATGTATGTGTTAATTAACAGTGATTGTTTTTCATTATGCGCTACAGTGATCAGAAGTATTACTTGTTCAAACAATTAGCGAACATGTGTAATTTACAAAGTGCCAAATTTTGTTTACCTTGTTTTTGCTACCATACCTAATTTCATTATTCATTACAATTAGAATCGAAATATACAGAGTATTTGAGAATTTATGTCGACTGCTGGTAAAACATGGAAAAATAAGCCGTTTTGCAACACCTTGCCAAATTCGTCAAAATTTATTTATTGGTAAATAATTCAAAACGCAATAATAAACCAAACCTTGTATCCTCCCAGATCCTCCACCAAGCACGATAGAATAGCCTCCCTGCCGACGGGCACAGTAACATTCGTAATGGGTGCACTGAACTTCGGATTTTCTGGAAAAAAACGTTTTCATTAGTTCCCAAATTACGAACAAAAGAACTTATGATAAATTCATCAGGTAATGAAATATGCATCGCATCCAGGGTGTTCTTAATAACGGTGCTGGTTTATTTCCCGGGTGCAGTAATTTAATGGAGTGTGTTAATGACTGGCTGCGCGCAAACCAGAGCGACACAGATTAGCGAATGAACAAAGCTCCGCAGGACTTCCGGTCCAAAGCTCGGCGACTTTCACCCTCGCACGTACTCCATTCTAATAGTGTTCGAGTCATGAGCACAGTAAAAACTTCGGAGTTGCAGGAGCGGATCCGACGGAGCCCCAGAAGTGGCAGCTTTGGAGGGTGTTCGATAAACTAAAAAAGAGCTTAATTTTATACGTTATTATACTTCGTCGAATATTTTTTTTTTTAATTTAACAATCCATCTATCCACTAGATGCTCTGTTTTCTGAGAGCTTTCATGATTCTCCATTACTGTGACATATTTCTTCTCTTTCTCGTCCTATCCTGTATTACGAAACGCGTGTTTTTGACTTGGCTGAAGGTGATTACAATCTGTTAAGTGAATTTTATGCGTCGGTTCATTGGGGTTTTTTACTAATTAGTTGTGAAATATAGCGGCTGTAATTATCCAAAGTGGTTTACTTTTGAAGTTAAAGAGCTCTGTCGAAGAAAGCGGGAAGTGCATTATTAACATACAAAATCGGGGAAATTAAAATCAACGACTGTATCTTTGGCATAAGATTTATATTGTAATTTTAGTGAAATAACTACTGAAAATTATGTATTTTGTATGTTTCAAATCCTATTTTGTCAGAATATCAGTCGCCTTTTAATGAGACTTTCCCTGATTGATGTCAAATTTTAACTGGGTAAACCATAGACTGTTAATTATGAAGTTGCAAAGATTAAGCTTAGAGATTAACACTTAATTAGTTATGGTCGTTTTTGTGGAGTAGGATGCAACAAGTACTCCTTGAGGATTGTATTTCTTACTTTTTTTAAAGTTCCTTCTGCTGTACCACAAAGTACCCACTGTGGCCACATCCTTCTCTTTATTTGCTAATGGTGTGACTCACTGCTTTCAGTATTCGAATCACTTACAATGAGCAGACGATCTAATGCTTATCATTATCTACATTTTTAAATATAGATAACTAATAGATATGCATAACTATATTTTCGCCTATTTGGTTTCCAATTTATAATACAACTGTTTACTGTTGAAGAAAGTCCACAAGGACTGTCTTCGAACACTGGCTTTTAGGATTGGTCATCGGTAGATTATAGGTCATTGGTAGATTATAGACTAGTAGGAAAAAAGTGGGTTTTATTGGGGTAATATTGACAGTTTGGCCTCATTTAACCGACCTCGGCTTGCGGGATTATCGAAAATAATGGGGGTCCTAGGACAGATGGTCGGCTGAAAGAGACGAGGTCCTAGTTCAGATCAAATTGATTTACAAAAACTAATTGAGGTCCTCAAACAAATCAAGTTGATCTACAAAAAATGATTGAGGTCCTCGGGCAATCAAATTGATCGACAAAAAATCATAGGTGTCTTAAAACAGAAAATGATGCCGGTTCTAAGACAAAGCAAATTGATCGTCCAAAAATTCTAAAATTCAATTTATATTGAAGATCTTAATGAGGAAACCATTGTTTATGGCGATCTGTTTGATTAGATCATGTTCTTTTTGGGAGGCAGTTTCAGAAAGAACGCTGGGAAATGCAAATTTTTTCATTTTTGACTTAGGTCTGTCGAATTTTGGATGGCGTGTTCATTGCCGAAGGGGAGAATTCCCCTAAGGATTTGATTGAACAATTTCGAAAAGTTCGATACTGCGGAATTGGTAAATTAAACTAGGGACTTGAGAGGGCAAGGGTGTGGCTTGCTTATTTTAGGCTAAACATATGCTTGGGGGATCTAGGTATTCATGCAGTAGCTGTTAGCTATTCGTTTAATTTTAATTTCCGATTGTATTAATTTTTCAAAATCCTGGGGAAGTCCCAACTAGTAGGGGCGAAACGTTGGTAAAATAAAAATTATGCAAAGCCGAAAATTGTTCGAGTCCGCAACCCGAAACAAAATTGGTGTTTATCTCAGGATAACTATCACTAACCGAGACAATTCAGTGTATTTAGGTTGGCCGAGTGGCCTAACAACAGAGAGCGAGGGTTCGAATCCCACACCTGACAATTTTTTTTCAGCGATTTATAAATTAAATACCAAATAAAACAATTAAGGGCAGTAAGGTGCCGAACGGTGTAGAGCGTGAGATGTAAGCTCTGATTCTCGAAGGAGAGCGTGGGTTCGAATCCCACACCTGGCAGTTTTTTTCCTATGCGTTCTGCAATTTTGTTTTGCGTTTAATGAAAACACATTTTCATGTTATGTTATTGCGCATACAAAAGCTTGTAAGACTGACTCTTTCTTCAAGTTAGAAATGAAAGACGACATTTCAACTTTACAAACAGTAAAATAATTGGCAGTAAATAAATCGCGGACGAATAAATCGATATTTACGTAACTACAAAATAGATAGGAGGATACAATTCGAGTTTGCGCAAATCACAGCCTCTACGAACTCGACCAAATCAAGACGAACTCACCCGATGGAGTCAAGTCAACCGAGTACAAAGCGAAATCAGAACTTTGGATGAAAAGTAGTGCGGTTTCTAGCTCAGGTCAAATGCGGTGAAAATGAGCTAAGAACCCCACTATATAACTATTAGAGTGTATGTATCCTATGTCTCTCATTACAATACTTCTGTCTACAATGTCACTCCTCTCGATATTATTACATTTTTTCCTGGTTTCACTTTTTTCTTCTATCATCTTTTCGCATTCTTCATCGAAATATTGTTTGTTTTTCTTCGGGGATCCTAGGCCTAGTGTTTTATGCACTGCTAGGATAACATTTTTTTGATGTCGTTCCATTCGGTCTTTGCTGTTTTCATTGTTGTGTTCATGGATTATTGGAGTTCTAACTCCTTTCTTTTCGTATTATAGAACACGTATACGACGCGCGCCGGAATAGGAAGTCGAATTCGGCACCGACACCAACACCGACACCGACACCGGTCTGAACTGAGTCTGAAAATAAGCATGTAATGCCGCGCTATATTGGAGTTTTAACCCCTTTTTTTGGTATTATAAAACACGTTACGATGGGCGCCGGAATAAGATGTCGAGTTCGAGCTACGAGTTTGTTCTTCGGATGATTATTTTTCAGTGGTCTGGCTGTTTGTGAGGTCTGTTATATTAGTTGCTTGTGTGTTTTTTTTATGTTTTGGAAGCTGAATTCGTTCCCGTTGATTGTTAATTTGTTGTAGGTAAGTCTTGTTTCTTTCTTCGCTTTCTCGATACGCTACTTTTGGCAGTTTTTTCCTATGTTTCATTATTTTCTTTGAGAACTCTTCTTGGATGTTCGTTTCTTAGTTTCTTCTTTTCCCATTCTTTTTCTAGGTTGTCGACTCTTTCTTCTTGTTCTTTTACCTTGGGTTTTAGTTGTGGTTTCCATTTTGTAGTTGTTCGAGTATTTGCAGGTTTTTTTCCGTTTTTTCTAGTTTGTTCAGCTTACTTTCTTCTGGGTTTTTTAGTCTTTAATTCCTCTGTAATTTTTTGGCGTGCTATGTTTACTTAGTTACCTATGATTATTTGCTAGATAGCCCTTTTCGGTGGATCGATTTGTCAAGTAGTGAATAACTATAATTAGGCGTTCCGCAGGGTACTGTATTCGGACCTCTCCTGTTTCTTGTATATATATAGCCGACTTAAGAAAGCATATTCTGTCAACATGTGCGTTTTATGTTGAAGATTTTAAGATCTAATTCGTCGTGCAAAAGATATATTAGTAGACTACTTCGACTAATAAATTGAAAACTATAGTCATGGATTGGTCTCAATAACTAACATGAATATCTGCAAATGAAAGAAGCGCTGCGTTTAAATTGTGCTGCATTAAAAATGAGTGTAAAAATAAAGCAATTTGCGTAAATTGTTCAAGAATAAATAACACTTGATATTAGTCATTCAGGTCTTGAATTAAATTGCGAAGTTTATAAAAGGCAAGCGCAAATTGTTTAAAGTCGAACTCAATATTCACAATAGCAGTTACCGTATCAGAGCAATACTAAATTAGAAACTTTGCCGTCAGATTCAAATAACAGAAACCTTTATAATTCGTACCAATTCAATATTTACTATTTAAGGAGTAAAATTCTGGAATTTGAAGCTATTTTGAAAGAATGTGAACCGTTCGAAATAAGTAATTGGCAATACTTTAAAAATCAGTTTACATATAAAGAAGTTTAATAATAATTGGTTATCACGCCTCGCTTTATTTTTCGTTACTCCAAATCTGTCACATGTCCTATCCCTTCCAGGGCCCCGAAATCTGGCAGCCCGCCCCTGCAGGCACATCGCGTTCGCCCCCCGAAAGTATACTTTAGCTACACATTCCATGTTTTCAAGCGGCAACGTGAATTTTTCATTTCCTTAATTTCCTCGAAAAATCGTCGACGGAAAATTTTTAAGGAACATGTGTTTCGTGAGTTATGATGGTAGATTTTCCGGTGAGCTTCGGCTTGCTTGTTTTAATGTGATTACGTGTTGCAAGTATCAGATTCTAATATTGTTTCAGTGACGAGTTTTAACCGAACTTGCGAGACTATCATGCTGCAAATGCTGTACCTAATCGTCTTTAACAGTTCGGAGGGAAATGTAATTAAGGCTATAATTAATGTTCCGGTACGGATGATGGCAGTACTGCAGGTAGAACTAATAATCTCATGGATAGAAGACATTTTCATTAAAGATTATTTCTTACTACACGCTGCGCTCCAAATTTACGATTCAGGAGTCAGACCGGCGAGAAACGAAATGCAATTTCACGTTTTAACATACGCTGGAAATCAATATCTAATCAAAAAGTTTCTCTTAAGCGCTGGCAAGCTAAGATTATGCACATGTAGTGCTCTTTAAGACTTTCA